GAATATAAAGTTGGTTTGTTTGACCAAGGTTAAAATAAGACATGTTTCTATAAAGTTCTGGTAACCCTTTATGGACTTTTTGTTGACACTAGGACTGAAAAGTTGATTTATGGATTTGTATATAGATAAAGGAAGGGTTATGGGAAGAAGTTATATTTGTTTGTAACCTTATAGGGGGTAAAGAATTACTAAGTTTGTTTATACTTGTGATGAAGATCAGAAGTCACTTCTCTATATATTTCTTTTTCTTATTTTCTTCTTTTTCTTTCTTTGCACTTTTTATTCTTTCTATTTCTCCTTCTCTGAATTTAGTTTGTATTTACTTTTACTACTGTAATTAAAATCTTCAATAAAAATTATAATTAAAAAACAGGTTATTTAAGTCTTAGATCAGTTTCCATTTTCCATATGGACATGCCAAGCAGAAAAGTTTATGAACCTCAGGCTCACTTTTATCCCTTCACATAACTCTAAACTGGTCCAATCAAACCTATTAATACTTAAAATAGTCCAGAGCCATAAATGATTTCATGCATATGCATACTGCATGATGTAAAGTACATAAACATATTCAGCCTAAAAATATTGTCACATACTTATATTAGCTTAAAACTTTTATATTCTGTGTAGCAGCTCAAATTTAGGGCCCTGACTGACTACTTATTTAAAAATCAGAAAGAACATAGACAAGTTCTTTTAAAAAGTCCTTTAAATACAAACACATTAAATTACATCATTTCCTGCTTTGTTAGTCTTGGTACTTTATGCTTCTGTTTTCCTTTAATTGTTTCCTGTTCTTTCTTCCCCATCCGATTTCAATAGCTTCTTTGGATCTGGTTTCTGTTTTTTGTCTATGTATAATTTTAGCTTTGTGTTTTCTTTTTAATTTCATCAGTGAGCAAATTATTTTTTATAATGTCTGTTGATAGAATTTGTAAATATTTCAGGTTGTAAAGATGACAATGTAATATTGATCTCGCTTCTTACCACAGTGTTTAACTGAATAGCTTCATGAAGCGGCTTAATGGCAACTAGCGTATTGCTTTTTCTGCTCCTCTCAAGAGAAACGTACTAAATACATTTGGACATTGCAATTTTTTTCTGTTACTGCATTGTAGCCCTTCTTATCTCTGTGAAATAAAGAATATTAATATAGCAAAAACAGCTGGAACTCAGGTTGTTTCTTACCGTTTAGGCCTGTCCAGCAGACCTACATAATAACATGTGCTAGAAATGCCTCCTCCCTTTCTAGACAGTTTGCAGTGTTATCAAGTTATGCTTTATGGAGATTGGTAATGTTGCTTCAAAATAAAGCTGTGTTCAGATATTAAAAGGAAATAATTTCATCTTAAAAAAATAGTTTCACAGCAATTTCATAGTATTTCTCTCTCTCTCTCTCTCTCTCTCTCTCTCTCTCTCTCCCTCCCTCCCCCCCCCCAAAAACAGCCTATGGATATTTTTAGAAAAATGATTTAGAATACTTAAATCTTTTTTAGAATATTGCAGACATTATACACAATAAACATAAATCTGCAACTTAGCCTAGCTCGTCTCTCAGGCATGACAGGGGAAATCAGATAATTCTCTTAGTATTACGATTTTAAGGTAACTATGGGAGAGGCAGTTGTACTGATTTTGTTTGGAAGAGATTGTTTTTTTCTCCTTGCAGTGTTTATCTTTGTATAATCAAGCTGCACCTCCTTTTTTTCCTCCCCTGCAAATCTTTGCAATTTGAAGGAGAGAATTAAATGATGGTATCAACAAAAGTGTAGGCTAAATACAGTGGTACCTCTACTTATGAACGCCCCTACTTACA